ATTTAATACCAGTCTGAAGTTATAGCTTTGAGAAAAAATGAACAGTTATAAAGTGGGTTTCTGTTGTTTATGTTTCTCTACATACTTTATAACTGGTCATTTGTCAAATTAATTTCCTTTGTGGATTTATTTCGAGATTGTAACTCATGAGACTACAGAATGAGAGGGAACTTAAGTGTTTGGAGACTGTTAGCCAACTCAACTAGCAAGATCTGATTCTCCAAGTTTTAAATAGCAAGTGCAGTATGCAAACAAAATCATAGCAAAACATCTATTTGTGAACCAGAGAACACTCAGGTCAGATCAGGTTTGAGTCTGCTGAAGGTATCTGACTGCTTATTTGTTCAATAACAAGTTTGGACTTACCAACTAAGCCACTATTCCTAGTCTATTTGCTCTTTACAAGTAGGTGTTGTTATATTTATCTTGCTATGTTTAAACTGTGTGATCCATGCAGGCCCTGATAATGAAACTTCTATAAGAGCTGCTTGCCAAGAACTTGTCCTGGGACTGTGAGCTGATTACATTTTGGATTCTATTCACATCCAAAAATCTGCTCAAAGTGTAAAACTTTAAATATAATCCTTTCTGTAGCTACCATTTGTATCGATTTCCTTTTTAAGAAAAAATATAAATGTGCTGAGTTTTGTAGAGCAACTGTGAATGAATTGGCTATTGAACCTATAACCACATTTTATGGTTTAATTAAAGCTTTTAGTAGTGTTACAAAAACTGGGATTTCTGTCTTTCCTTTGAAATATACTGACAATTGCTGTTCTGCTGAGCATCACAGCATTAAAATATACCAGGCCAGATAGAAACTACTATATCTTAATTTATTTGATTGTAAAACTCACCTAAGTCGCATCACGACAGTTGCAGGCAAACTGTGTAAATTGTATAAAATCTGATTCAATCAATAATCTAAGCATACATAATTCAATACAGCCGGTAAATGTGCACGTGGTAGTTCGTCATTGCAGCTGATAAGTGCACATGTGGTGAAGGGTTAAAACTAAGTTTCTTGGATTATCAAGTCATTTCCCATAATAGAAGGCCTCTGGTAAGCACAGAAATAATGGAGGGTAGGGGAGTAGAATTACGAGTTAGGAGGTGAGTGATATGAATAGAATAACGAAATCTAAATGTTTTTGATAAGAAATTGAATGGGACTCGTGTGAATGTACGACTTAAGCATTTATACGATTTATAAAGATAAGAGTTTTACTGTATGAGATAAAGCTAAAAACAGAGCACCAAACTGTTCTGGCTTATTTTAACCACTAAAAAAAACTCAGCCCAGAGCATTAGCATGATTGCAGGATAAAACCCATGTGGCCTGGGATCTCCAGGCAGAAGGTTGCACCCTCTTACCATGCAGTAAGCCCATGCTCTGATATTTTTAGCTTCGCTCCTCTCTTGCTTACAGCCAGCTGGATAAATGGAACATAAATGGTAGTAGAGATCTCCTTGCACTTGTACAGGGCCCTTTATGTGGGGTAGAATCTCACACTATTTTCCATTTCTCACACTGCCTTGTGACCTTTTTTGCATGAGATTACAAAATAGTGACAAATTAGGAGCAGTTTCCTTGTGTGTGTGATTCGGAAGAAAACCCAAATAGATTTTACTAAGTAACTTTACAGCTGGAAAAATGAGGAGAAATTTGAGGAGACTACACAGTCTGCTGGTTCAAACTCAGATTCCGGAGGTGAAAAAATAGTATTAACTCACTGAATCACTCAGTCCCTCCAATGACTGCTGCATTGCAAATGAATTGCCAAACGAAGGTCCTGTCTGTCTGTTCAAGTGGATGTTAAAGATCTCATGTACTATTTGAGAAGAAAAGGGAGTTTCTGCTGATGTCTTGGTCAACAATCCACCAGATGAATTGGTTATTCATCCGATGGGTGTTTGTGGAACATTGCTGTGTGGCTGTCATGTTTGCGTACAATAACATTTGCCCAAACTTGGCCATCAGTGGCTGTCAAGCACTCTATGATATTTCAATGTAATAATGCTAAACAAACGGAGATTCTTTCTGTCTCCCTGCAATGTACTAAAGACCAGCACCCGTTGTTGAGATAGAACATTAACTTGTGGTAAACAAACAAAATGATGATAGTACTGCATATAGATAAAGGACAAGGACACGTAATAAGAACTTTGTTCCCAGTCAGCTAGTATTTGTAAACAAGTTATTTTTGACTGCTGATTCCAAAGTTTGAGAGATGGTTGATGACTTATTGAACCTTTGTACAGGGATCAGTTTGCATACTGTCTGAACTAGAATAAAATTCAGTCGAAAATGTGAAACAAGTCATAAATCTTACCTCAAATCCCGAAACAATATCATATGGTAAAAATTACAATGCGTAATGAGTTAATTATCACATGTGATAATTACAGCAGAGCCAGTCAATAAATAAAGGTTGGTCTTAGATAAGAATATTAAGTCTTTAGAATAATGGATCAATTATAGTTCAGGCACTGTATTGAACTGGTAGTGACTGTGGTAGAGATGTGCACGTCAGCAATTTGGATTTATGCTGCCAATTTGGCATTCTTTTCTCCCTAATTAAAGTGTGAGAAAAGTGGAGTTTTGCTTTGTTTATTGCGAACTTCTGTGCATTAGAAGAGTTTTGCTAACTGGCAAGTAATTCTACTTAACTTTTTAATAGCCTGTCTCTGTAGCCTTTGGGTGAAAAGGTTGTGTTGGGTTCAAGCTTTATGTAGGGACTGAGCTCACAGGCTAGGCTGACACTTCAGTTTGGTAATAGATCAACAATGCATTGTTAGAGGTGCCATCCTTCAGATGAGATATTAAATCCAAGACCTGACTGGCTGTGAATATTGAAGACACTATTTGAAAACTGTACAGCATGGGTTAAGTGACCTTCTGTTCTCTAATGTTCTCTAATGGCAATGCGGTTCAGATTCAGACCTTCAAGTGTGGGGAAGTGCATAGGTAAACCGTGTTCTTACCACTTGATACATTAATATGACTATATATATCACTGTGTATCAAGATCACAAGAGTGATACGGTCAAAGTAGGTGCTCGGACTCATTTGATCTCTCCCTTCTGGTTGAGGACAATGGACACATTTAAGGAACAGCTTTATGCTACAGGGGAAGAGAACAGGAAAATTCCTTTGATATAGTGCCTTAACTCATCATCGAGATGTCAAATGGTACATCCCTCATCCTAATATTGTTTCCCTTGATAAACATTTGATATGTGCCTTATCATGCCTGAAAGTGCTTCACAGGATTTTACCATGAAGTGTAGTGGCTGTGCATTGACAGGCAAATGCAGCAGCTAATTTGTGCACAGCAATCTCTCACAAACAGTCTGAAGTAAATGACTATATTTAGCTTTATAGCAGAGCATCATTAAAGTTGCTACACTGATTGCCAAGGGAGGTTAAAAAACAAATCCACTGAATCCACGACTGTTTATGGGACACTGCTGTGTGCAATTGGCAATTACGTATTGTATTATTGTATTTGTAGGCAAACATTGGCAGCAAATCTTCACACACTAATGTCCCACAAACAGCCATTATAATATATATTGTAATATCTATGATAATATCTATAACATAATAATATTATAATAGTATTCATTGTAATAGAATGACCAATTCTATTTGGAGAATTGTTGCCTTGGACAATGAGTAGAAACTACCTTCTCTTTTTGAATAGTATCACGGGATCTTTAACATCCAACTGATCCAGTAGATGGGATCTCAGTTTAATTTTTCATTTGAAAAACAGCACCTCCAACTGTCCCAGCACTGTACTGGAGTGTCAGTGTATCATAATACATGGAGTTACAAAATCAGTATTAAGCACTGCAAACAACCATTGAAAGTTCCCCACCTTTTGCAAGTAACAGACAGAAATTTCTGCAATGGTAGCTCCAACACTCCTCTGTTTTTCAATGGTTCTGTTGATGATCCAGATTTATTCAGATCCAGCACAGACACAAGAATTTTTTTGGGGCCAATTGGAGAGAGAAAAAAAATGAAAATATGTATTTTCTGCTTAAAACACATGATTATGTATTCTGCCCTACATACATTGACAAATCATTTGAAACTTGGGAAAGAAGTATAAACTAATGTGAACCTCAAAGACACCAACGTTTTGAGTTAATGGTCCAAAATTAGAGGAAGATCAACCAAGGTTTCTGCTCCAAGCCACTATCTAATGATTCCTGCTAGAAGGTGCGTGTGTGAGGACTTTGGATGAAAACAGGTTGAACTGTGATGCCACCCAGAGTTCAATAGCTTGTCAACATTCATTGTTTTTTTTAGTGGCAGGTACAATGGCAATGTGTAACAGAAAGCAATGACGTAGACACAATCCTCTCATAAATCTCAAACATCTCAAAAAATGCTCCTAAGTTCCCCTTTCATTCTTCTTGTACCAATCTTATATCTATGTCCCTTTGTTACTGACTAGGCTGACATTCCAACATAGTACTGGGCCACAGCTGTATTGTCAGAGATGCATTTGGTTGAGATGTTATATTATCTGTTCTAGGTGTTAAAGATATTATGGCACCACAGTAAACCTCGCTTAAATCTTGCCTTTATAATTCGAATATGAGTTCCAAATCTTGATATAAATGTACAAAATAAAACATTACTGAATCACATTTAAAAAAAGCATCGAAATGATCATTAGTTTTAAATTCTGAATATTTACTTCAACCCACAATACCTCAGTGGTAACCCTGACAATAGTCTAATTTTAGTTAATGTGAAAACTAACAGTATCTCGTAGATTGGTGGCACTGAATAAAGAGATCTGCTTCTTTTCACATGTACTAACTTTTATTTACTAACTTTAAAACGTCCCTTGTGACACAAAGCTTGTCATATCCAAGGTTAAATCATAATCATTATATACGAAATTTATACAAAACCAACTCATAATAGAGCAATTTAAATTTCACTTTAAACATACAAAAAAATCTTATTTTGAAGGCTTTTATGTTTTGGTAGTAGTCTCATTTAAAGTCTTATTCACCTCTGAGAAGGGCAATGTGTACGTGCTAAAATTGATGGTGAGGAAGTCTTCCAATTGTAGTTTCAATGTTTTAAATGATGGTCGATCATCTGGATTTTCATTCCAACACTCTCTCATGAGATTGTAGATAGGTTCTGGGCAGCCTGCTGGACATGGCATTCGGTAGCCATTAGCCACTTTGAACAGGGCATCTCGATTTGTCATTCCTGCAATTTCAGAACATTTCTGATATGCAAAAGTCTCAGCCAAAGTGAAAAGTCAATCAGTAAAATGATGCCACATTACTCTACTTACCAAGATATGGCATTTTCCCTTTTGTAATAATCTCGTACAGAACAATACCAAAGGACCACACATCAGATTTCACAGAAAAGTCACTGTTCATTACAACTTCTGGAGCTGTCCATTTAATCGGAAGTTTGTCAGTGAATCGAATGGCAATATTATCTTCCTGCTAAAAANTAATTTGCATTTTTATAGCATTTTATCACATTGCAATGTTTCAAAGTGGAGTCAGCTAAATCAGCAAAAGGGCATTAACATAAGATGATAGCAAGAACAATTAATAGGAAGATTAGAAAACATTTATTTACCCCGTGCGCAGTAAGAATGTGGAATTCTCTACTACAAACCACTGTACAAGCAGTCTCCACAGCTAGACGAGATGGTTCATTTGGAGCAAAACACCAGCACAAATTTGATGGGTTAAATTACCTCTTTCTATGCTGTAACATTCTATAAATCTATGGTCATACGAAATAATAATAATAATCCCTGCATTTAATATAGCGCCTTATCACATCTTCAAGATGTCTCAAAGTACTTCACAGAATATACTGTAAAGTGCAGTGACTGTGCGTTTTGTGGGTGAAACGCGGTAGCCAATTGCGCACAGCAATTGAAATCAATGATCATTGATAAAATATTAAGAATGAATTTTTTTAAATAACAAATGTTTTGGAGAAAGGGACTGGCTCTTGCTGGGGCACTGCTTCAAGGATATTTTGCCCTCATGTGAATATTGGCAATAATGTGCTGCCATTATATTTAACGATGAAGGGTAGATTCTGCTCTCAATGGCTTATGTCTTCTATTCAGTTGCACTTTCCAGCAGGAATCACTAAATAGTTCTCTGACTAATTTCCTCCTTGTGAGCCTAGAGATGTTAAAATTAATTGTAACACTCCAATTGCTGCCCATCCAAGTTTGATTAACTCAACACATACCAGGAGTTTAACCTAATCTGTATGGCTAGAGCCACTTGGGTAGTGCCTTTACCCACTTAGCCATTGGAGGAGTCCAGAGATGACACTGCTAATAGAGGCCGATAGCTAGCAAGTGCGTTGAAAATCTCAGTGAATTCCTTTTTCTTGTCCCCACATTCCATGCCTACCTTTATCAATCTTGCCAGGCCAAAGTCTGCGATTTTGCAAACATTGTTGTCTCCTACAAGAATATTTCTTGCTGCTAAATCCAGATGAATGTAATTGTTGGATTCTAGGTGTGACATCCCAGCAGCGGCCTGTGCTGCCATATCTATCATTTGTGGAATTTGCAGATGATACCCTTCAAATGAAGGAATAAGATGGAAGATAAGACCCAACCCTCAAAACATTGCCTTGTGTTGAAAATTGTCTGAAAATCAGCCACTTACTCTTTAAATATTTTAGAAGATCGCCATGTCTCATCAGTTCCGTGACAATGAAGAATGGCTGCTTTCTGGTGCATACAGCATACAGGCGGATTAAATTGGGGTGTTGCAAGTTTTTCATGATTTGCGCTTCCTTCAGAAATTTATTGGGATCTGTTGCATCTGCAAATATATAATAATGGTGGATTCTTCAGCAAAATATCCAAGTGTAGATTCAACAACAACAAAATGACATTTGTATAGCACCTTTCACATCGAGAGGATGTCCCAAGGTGCTGGCCAGTCGGAGTCTCAGACCTGAGCTGGGGGTCGGGATTGGGAAGGTGAGAGGGTGGGGGGGGGGGAAACAGGGTGATTGAAAGCATGGTCAAAGAGGAGGGTCTTGAGATGGGTCTTGAAGGAGGCAAGGGAGGTGACGAGGCAGAGGGACTGCGGGATGGAGTTCCAGAGGGTGGGGCAGAGTGGCAGAAGGCCTGCCCGCCAATGGTGGGGTGGGCGAGGTGGGGGAGGTGAAGCAGGCTGGAGCCCACTGAGCGGAGGGAACGGGCAGGATGGCAGGGGATTAGAAGGTCGCAGCAATAGGTGGGAGCAAGGCCATGGCGGGCTTTGAACGTGAGGACCAGAATCTTGAACTGTATCCTCTGTGTGATGGGAAGCCAGTGGAGTCGGGGAAGGATAGGGATGATAGGGTCACGGAGCTTGGTGCGGGAGAGGTCACAGGTTGCAGAGTTCTGGATGATCTGCAGCCTATGGAGGGAGGAATTGGGGAGGCCGACAAGCAGGGAGCTTGCATATTCAGGCCTCGATGTAGTGAATGTGTGAATGTGGGTTTCGACGGCCTGTGGTGTGAGACAGTGGCGGAGCTGGGCGATGTTGTGGAGGTGGGGGAAGGCTGAGTAGGTCATAGCATGCATATGAGGTAGAAAGGATAGTTGAGGGTCAAACAAGATGCCAAAGTTCCAGACTGGCTTAGTAAGGTGGAGTGTGCAACCATGGACAGTGATGCTGTCAGCGCCTGAGGTGTGGAGGTGCTGTCGGGAGCCAATCAGGAAAACCTCGGTCTTGTTGATGTTCAACTGAAGAAAGTTAGCTCTCATCCAGGACTTGATGTCCAACAGACATTCAGTCAGGACAGCAGTGGTCCTAGAGTCAAGCGTGGAGGCAGAGAGGTACAGTTTAGTGTCACCGCATATATGTGGAAGTTGATCCCATGTCTGCGGATGATGTCACCAAGAGGGAACATATAGATGTTGAAGAGGAGGGGACCGAGGACAGAGCCCTGAAGAACATTGCACAAGACGGTGCGGGGGCTAGAGGAGAACCGTTTGTGGAGATTAAGTGGAGGCAGTGTGAGAGGTACGATCTGAACCAGTCAAGGAAAAAGCTGTGAAGGTTGAGGTCAGAGGAGAGGCGGTGGATGAGGACAGAGTGGTCAACAGTGTCAAAGGCAGCAGATAGCTCAAGGAGTACAAGGAGGCAGAGGGAACCGTGGTCGAAGTTGGAAAAAATGGCATTTGGATTCAATGTAACATGCTGTATGCCAAGATCACAATTTCTAAATTATGAAGGGCAGGTACCTGCTTGTTAAACTTGGTGCAATTTTTTGAAAAGGTGATTAAAGTGGTGGATATGGGAGAGTCAATGGATGTTGTTTACATGAATTTTCAGAAAGCATTTGATAAAGTTCCACATAAATTGAAGTGTGTACTTTCCAAAACCATAATCACCTGCTCGCAGCATTTTGATGGCAACGTGTACACTGTCATTCCATATTGCTTTCCACACATCTCCGTAGCTACCAGACCCAATGCATCTCACTAAAGTGAATTCTGCTTTTGGCCGTTCCCACTCGTCCACAGTGTTATATGACAAATGACGAAAGACTGGCTCCTTCTGTTAATAAACATTTGCAGGTTTTTGGAAGAACATTGTCATTTTAGGTAAATTTAACATTGGGGTGAGATTCCAGTCCTACTATCCTTGGTACACCGGAAAACTACACATAGAGGAATAACACACATGTGAAATCCTGTAGCTCACTGATTAGAGCACTCGCCTCGCAAGCGAGAGACCTGGGTTCGATTCCTGGCAGGGCGAAATGCTGGACAAGTTTCCTTACTCCACACACCTCTGTTTACCTACCAGTAAGTAGGAACCTGGTTGTTGTTGATTGGTGGATTGCTAATCCAGGAGTAATAATTCGTTCAAAAACAAAATAATAAATTGGTCACTTCAATCCATGACTGTTCGTGGGACACTGCTGTGCGTAATTGGCTGCTGCGATTCGCCCACAAAATATACGGTGAATTCACTTTACAGTATATTCTTTGAAGTGCTTTGAGATGTCTCAAAGATGTAATAAGGTGCTATATCAAATGCAAGGATTATTATTATTTATTTTTATTATAAAGCATTCTACTGTACAGTGCTTGTTTTTTGGAGATATATATGGCAGCTATTCTGCATACAAAATCCCACAAGCAGCATTAAGTGAATGTTGATCAATTTATTTGATGGATTGTTGGCCGGGAGACCGGAGAAAGGCGCTATATCAAAATATTAGGATTATTATTATTTATAATAATGATAATCCTGCACTAGGCTCTGCTAGCCTATCATCCTCATCCTTGCTCAGCTCCCCTGGCTTCCCATCCTCCAGAGGATTGAGTTCAAGATGCTTACGCTGACATTTAAAGCCCTTTATGGTCTTGCTCCAACCTACAGCTGTGACCCTCTAAAACCCTACCAATCTTCCCACATCTCCTCTCACAGGTACTGGTCTGTTTCAATAATAATAATAATAATAATAATCCTTGCATTTGGTATAGCGCTTTTCACGTCGGGAGGACGTCCCAAAGCGCTTCACAGAACACACTGTAAAGTGAATTGACTGTATATTTGTGGGGGAACGCGGCAGCCAATTGCGCACAGCAATGTCCCACAAACAGTCATAGATTGAAAATGACTAATTTTTATTATTGTTTTTGGTTTTGGAGGGATTATTATTAGGTGTGTGGAGTAAGGAAACTTGCCCAAGGTTTCGCCCTCTGCCTGGAATTGAACTCAGGTCTCTCACTTGCAAAGCGAGTGCTCTAACCACTGAGCTACAGGACTCCACAGTCCTCCACAGGACTCCACAGGACTCCACACTGAGCTTCAAGTCCTCAACTCTGGAGAAAGGCTTTTATACTCAAGACGAAAAACAAGGCCAAACAGTTACAGAATTTGAAAAGTAAAATAAGACAATCTGTAGACAAGATCAGCTCATCTGCTTAGACAAGACCAGCTTGTCTGCTTCAACACAAATATTTGTCTTAAACTTAAGATAGCGCAGAATAGCGGAAAATTCTTAATTTGTCCGTTGATTTCTTAACATACTGACTGGGAATTGCAGTATTAGATTGTATCCATAGACCTCAGATCAATTGTTACATTCATGCTGCTCAGAAATCTTTAATGGCATTTAACTTTCTTAAATAATACACACGTCCAAAAACACAGTGGGGGTGGGGAGGGGGTGGAAATTTGTGGCAATTCGGAACAGAATTCACATCATATCGAATCTTTTATGAGATACTCTTGCTACAGACTGGCCATGTAGCTAAACACTGCCCCCATGCTGAAATAGACACAGTGTTATGCCCGAGGATTTTTATACTCAGATGTTTGAAAACAGTTAAAAGCTGGATACTGACTTAACACAGTCAGTGTCCTGTAAAGCTGCACTTAAATACAACAACAACAACAAGATTTCATTTATAGAGCGCCTTTCACGTCGGGAGGACGTCCCAAAGCGCTGGACAGTTGGGTCAGGACCCGAGCAGGGGGGAAATGGTCAGGGTGAGGGGAGGGAAGGGAGGGAGCGAGGAGGGGGTAGAGAGTCGAGAGGGGAGCTGAAGGTACGGTCAAAGAGAAAGGTCTTGAGACCGGCCTTGAAGGAGGAAAGGGAGGAAGCGGCGAAGGCACTGGGGGATGGAATTCCAGAGCCTGGGGGCTGAGAGGCTGAAAGCCTGGCCACTGATGGTAGGGCGGTTGGGCGGGGGATGTGGAGTAGACCGGAGCCAGAGGAACGGAGGGTACGGGCAGGTAGGTAGGGGAATAGTAGGTCGGAGAGGTAGGAGGGAGCAAGGCCATGAATGGCCTTGTAGGTGAGGATGAGGATCTTGAATTCGATCCTCTGGGGGATGGGAAGCCAGTGGAGGCGAGCGAGTGATGTGGTCCCGAAGCCTGGTGCGGGACAGTAAACGAGCTGCAGAGTTCTGAATGACCTGCAGCTTGTGGAGGGAGGTGCCGGGAAGGCCGACAAGGAGAGAGTTCCCGTAGTCCAGCCTTGAGGTGATAAAGGCATGGACTAGTGTTTCAGCAGCGTGAAACTGGCTTTGAGAGGTGGAGAGTGCAGCCTTGGATGCTGATGCTGTCAGCGCCTGAGGTGCGGAGGCGCTGATGTGAGCCAATCAGGAGGGCCTCAGTTTTGCGCACATTGAGCTGAAGAAAGTTATCTCTCATCCAGGACTCGATGTCGGACAGGCAGGCTGTCAGGACATCGGTGGTTGTGGAGTTGAGGGTAGAGGAGGAAAGGTAGAGTTGTGTTTCATCCGCATACATGTGTAAGTTAACCCTATGTCTGTGGACATTGTCACCAAGGGGGAGCATATACAGGGTGAAGAGAAGACCGAGGACCGAGCCCTGAGGGACACCGCACGAGACAGTGCGGGGGCTGGAGGAAAAGCTGTTAGTGGAAACAAAATGAAGACGGTGGGAGAGGTCGGACTTAAACCACTCAAGGACAGGGCCTTGAAGGTTGAGGTGGGAGGACAAGCGGTGGAGGAGGATAGAGTGGTCGATCGTATCGAATGCGGCCGATAGGTCGAGGAGGACGAGGAAGCAGAGGGAGCCCTGGTCGCAGATGGTCAAGATGTCATTGGTGACCTTGACCAGGGCGGTTTCTGTGCTATGGGAGTAGAAGGACGACTTGTCCGAGGCTATAGTGGAGCGGTAGATTTTGAGAGGTCCAGCCAGATTTGCCGGTGGACCGTTAGGCCAGATTTGAGGCAGGTGCATTCAACGGCCCGCACCTGGCTCTTCAGTGAGCGGAGGTGGGTGGTGAACCAGGGGGAGGAGCGAGGGTAAGAGAAAGTACGGGAGTACTGTAAATACTGCCTCTAGGATTTAAAAACAAACTCCAGCCGGCATTCCCAATATCCAAGATGGTGAATTTTTAAAAAAATCACAAATGGGATCAATTCATTATGCGGAACATTCTTCATCCAAAATAATCTTGTGATCCTGTGAAGGAAGTAGATGTGGGGAATGTTTCATTACACATCTGGACTTTAGCAATTGTTGGAATTTTTTTGGGGGGAGTCAGCTGATGTCTGACACATGCGGAAACCCATCACCATGCTTAAGAGTATCCAAACCAAACACAGAGTTCCCAGCTCTATCCTATCGGAAGTATCACACCAAATCTTTGTTAAAATGTTCCAAATTTCACCCTATTAACATACATTTTAAAATGAATTCTGCAGAGATCATTGCCTCAACTTACCTTTGTGCTTGGCTTCATCAATTTTACACCCCTAAACAACATGTTGTTTTTGTAAAACTCCACGAGTTCATGAACAGAGTCAAACTCGGAACCACTGTGCAAATAAAATCTGCCAGCTTCATTGTGTGAAATAAGTGAATGTATTACTGTTCTTTCTACATTAGCTGAAAAGAAGAAAAATATTTTTAATGCAGTTAATCAATAATTCCTATGTAATAATCAATAAAATTGGTTATTGGCCCACCTCTTTTGGTCATCTTTCCCCTCTCCATTTATTGTCTAGCACTTTGAGACGTCTTCCAGATGTGAAAGGCACCAAAGAAATATCAATTGTATTGTATAAATTCCACCTTTACGTGGATTTTTTTGTGTTAATGCAAGGAAAATCCAATTTTTATTATTTGAAATTAGCATCAACCAATCCCATATCTGTACAATGGGTTAGATATAAAGTTGCTCCTCCATATTGGAGATTATTACAAAGATTTCTAATTAGCACATATTATCTTCAGTTATTGGTAAGTTTACAGACTGTCAGTGTGGGTGTATAATGAGAATTTCCCAATGTCAGTGCACCCAACAAAAAGTCAATTTACTGACAAGTCGAGAATAATGATTATTGTTGTGCCTCAAACTTACATCTGAATGGTACCAGGAATGCACCAGGATGACATTTCATCAGCTACCCCAGGCTCTCTCTGAATGAGATTGCCAATTTATTCGTATTTGGACTGAAATGCAAGTACCATTTTCCCAAGAGAACTCAGTGGATTCTCACAAGTATTTTCAGGTGGATCATTCTCGTCAACAGAGAGAAGACAGATCAACAAGAGTTTCTCCAGCCATTCAGCAAACAGCAGTCTGCCTCCTGTCCCCTGCCTGATCTATGGGTGAGCTTGGAGCCTTTCTTCCTCTTTTGTCTGTAACTCCACCCCAGAGTTCCTCTTCCTGCCCATTCACCACCACCCACCTTCAAAACTTGCCTTAAGGTGGTTATTTCTCCCACAAAACATACAGTCAATCCACTTTACAGTAGATCCTGTGAAGCGCTTTGAGACAACAACAACAAATTACATTTGTATAGCGCCTTTCATGTAGGGAGGACGTCTCAAGGACATGTGATAAGGCTCTGTATCAAATGCAAGGGTTATCATTTTCATTATATTGTTATTTAGATCTATTGATTTTTACTGCACTTTCTGCACCTTCCTCCTATGGCATAAATCAAGAAATATTCAATCAAGAAATTATATTTTGTTGGCTGCACCTTTTACAATGTAAATTGTTGTTGTGAAGATGTGGAATGCTCTTCCCTAGAAAGCTGGGGAGGGAAAATCAGTCAGGGTGTTTAAAAGAGAAATAGACAGATATTTCAGTCAGAGAGGTATTAAGGATATGGCAAAAGGATGGGTCATTGAGAATAACAGTGGAGTTCTATAGCGTATTGGTTAGAGAACTCGCTTCGCAAGCAAGAAGACCCAGGTTCGATTCCTGAACAGGGCGAAATCTTAGGCAAGTTTCCTTATTCCACACGCCTCAGTTTATCTAGCATTAAGTAGGAATCTGATTGTTAGTCGACTGGCGAATCACTTTCCAGGGGTAATCCATAATAAAAAAAATGTGGCCAGGTAAGCAATGCACAGCAGACTGTTTGTGGGACATTGCTGTGCAAAATTGGCTGCTGCGTTTCACCCACAAAATACACAGTCAATCCACTTTACAGTATATTTTGTGAAGCACTTTGAGGCTTTTCGACGACATGATAAAGTGCTGCTTAAATGCGAGGATTATTATTATAATAAAACAATCTGTCAATTTCAAATAAACAGGTGAAACAGGCTTGATAGGCTGAAAATACCACTCAGATCAGAAATTCTGTTGGGTTTGCAATGGAGAATAATTCCAAATAAAAAGATTCTGCAGTTCACTTCCAAATACAATTGTATACATTGAGTAAGTATATGAATGCATACTGATTTCAATTCTGGAAGCTCCGGAAGAGATTAGCATCAAATATAAAAAGCACCATCCAAATCTACATATTTTATATATAGATTTTCTGATGGATTTAAATTAGGAAACCAGTCAATATGGTTAATTGATGAAGATATTTTCAGCTTTGCTCTCATATTTCATGAATAACATCTGAACTGTTTAATTAGATAAGTATCCTGTAAATCATTGAGAGACATTTAGTATTTGCTATGTAATGCAACACTTGTTTTCATGATACTACATATAAGGCAGCTTATTGTCACTATAAATACTCTGCTGAGCATTGCTTACCTGATAGTACATATGAATTTTGTATCCTCTCACTCTTGCGTACCAGAAATGAGCCGTGATTTCGATTAGGAGAAAGGAGTTGATTTTCAGCTTCAAATCGAGTCATTTCTCCACAATACCAACTACAATCCATAGAAATGTTAAATCAGTAATTAGCAGAAGTTTTACAGCTTATTGTGCAACCTATGGAGTAATTGGATGCATTTCTTCATTGTGTAGTTTTTAGTTTTGTTGCACAATTTGGAATGTTGTTAATCCACTTGGCCAATTACATTGGAGCACATCAGTAAAATCTGCATCCAATTCAGTAAGATAAATTGGCCATAGAATGATGTGATTTATTACGTTCAACCAAATAATAAGAATACAAGGAAGTATAAACACAAAAAGATTATTTAGCTATGAATCATGGTTCTTTCACAGACCAAACATAATTTTCGTTTCATGAGCTTGAAATCATCAATTTTGTCTCCCGAGGGAAAGTTCTGCTTGAACACTCCTCGATCCTTCAAGAAATCCAACACTGGGATTTCACCTAAAGATGCAACCCAGAAAATATTCCAACAAATCGGATTGAATTAGGGCCAAGCAACAAATCAGACTTTGGTCTATTGACTTTAGGCTGAATACAGTCTAGGCTGACGCTTCAATGCAGTGCTAGGGGTGCATAACTCATCAGAGGTGATGTCTTTCAAATGACACATTAAACTGAGGTCCCATACCTGCTCAGTTGGATGGTAAAGATCCCATGGCACTATTTGAAAAGAGAAGGGAGTTTCTCTCTTTGTCCTGGCCAACAAACCTCCAAATTAAAAGAACGGACACTCACTTTCAACGCTGTTTGTGGATATTGGTGCGTGCAAATTGACTACCTGCTAGAAACTGGGCCAAGCTAATAGTTTTCAAAGCACTCAGTGCCTAGATTGCCATTTTCATAGGATGTAAACCAGCCATAAAAATTACCAGCACACAAAGAAAATGAATATAGTGAGTAGAATTGAATATGTTTTATCCCTTTCGCGGACCAACTTGGGTGAACATGGTTCTGTGAGTTTTCTTATACCACTGATCTGGGTTTCAGGACAGTTCATCTTTGTAAATGCTTTTTTAACATCACGCTGACCACAATTTAGCACAATAGTTCTTCAACCACATTACAGGAAGTGAAACACAGGATGCTGCGGAAGTTCCAGTTAGATTCACTTTATGTCTCCAAATAACAAAGCATATTTTCTTGGATATGTCGCTCAAGTAATAAAAGAATTTAATCAGTTTGTTAAGCAAATAACAAATCAATACTATTGAGAAATTAATTTTAAAAGTATACTATTCTTGTACATTCAATAAACAGGAAGTATTTTTCTTAGATATTTGTCATTTGCGTAAAGGAAATATTCTGTTTGACAGTCATGCTTTCCACTTCTCTAATGTTACTTGGAGAGGATCCTGGTTTTCATGTCATCAGAAAACAATACATTAATTTGTATTTTAGTTATGTGTTAGCTAATGTCCTACGAACAGATATTTTCTAGATGTCTCAAAGCGCTTCACAGAATATACTGTAAAGTGAATTGACTGTATATTTGTGGCAAAACGCGGCAGCCAATTGCGCACAGCAGTGTCCCACAAACATTCGTGGTTTGAAATGACCAATTTATTATTGTTTTTTTCTTGAGGAATTATTATCAGGCATGTGGAGTAATTATAATTATATAATTATATCCATTTTAGCTGGGGTTTTGTTGACCAAACACCAAGAGAAACTCCTTTCTCTTTTCATCACAAGAATATTACCAGCACAAGAATATATTTTGGATGAGATGTTGTAAATTGAGATCCCGTTTGCCTGTTCAAGTGAATGTTAAAGATCTCATGGAACTATTTGAAAAGAGAAGGGTGTTTCTCCAGTGTCCCAGCCAACAAATCCCTAAAATAAAGTTGCTATTGCTATTTCATGGCTGTTTGTTGGACATTGCTCTATTCAAACTGGCTGCCACATTTCACCCACAAAATAAACTTTACAGTATATCATGTGAAGGACTTTGAGACTTCTCAACAATGTGATAAGGTGCTATATCTAATGCAAAGTTTTTTATTATTATTAAAAGATCTGATGAATGTCTCTTATCCCATTGGTCTCATCCTTACAGAAAATCAATCCTGCCATACACAAGCTGTTTCTTAAAACGAGTATCCTGTCCCTGATCACCCTTCTATTGAGCCTCAATTAAAAGAAAATCATATTCTTTTGTGCTAAACTTGTACTTTTAAAACTTTACAATTTATTTTTGTGTTATTTTAACAATCATTCCTGAAGTAATACAAAACCTATGGTGAAACATGGCTTAAAGGTTCCACCTGGGAATCATTATGTAATGAAGGACATTGGTTCCAGTCACACAAATATCCATCTTACTACAAGGAAGAATAGCTGGAGTTAGAAGAGAATCCTATTATATTGGTGATATTGCCCCATTATGTCGATCTGGAGTTAATACTCACGGTTCTGCTTCTAAGCTCTCCTCTCTGGCTAGGATCTGAACAGGCACAAATCCCTGTTCGTTTTCTTTCTGATTCTTATCACTTTTCGAACTTCTGCAAAGCTTTTGAGCAAACCACCAATCTATTTCCTTGTGGAGAATCTCCAGGCGTTCTCCTTTTTTCACACTCAGCTCCTTTCCTGTTCGTGCCACATAATCAAACTGGACTACGCAGCACCCAAGAAGGTGCTGTGAGCACAATCCTTTAGGTCTCTGACCAATATTTGGGCTTGCTGTCCTGCTACATGGTTGTTCTTCAATGGGCTTCCTCAGGACACTTGGTGGTTCTTTTTTGATCCTGTTGATATTGGAAAGAGAAACGTCACTTTCTGTCTGCCTTGCCATCTCTGTTGATTTCTCAACATTTTCATCCTCCAGGATGAAATTATCTTTTTGAGGGCAGCTGAAACAATTGCAAAACAGGACCGCCATGCTGTTGACAGTGATAATGCAATAGCAGAACTACTTTGCAAGTGGAAGTTACCGGTTCTTAATAGTTCTCTCAGGATAGGTTTAATGTTCAAGGGAGGAAGTGCCTCTCTCACTTCAAAGGGAAACGTTCATGTGGGTTTTCAAGAGTGTATTGGAATAATCTTGTCATTTTCTAAAAAATAAGTAAACAAGATGATGTCAATGATAAAGAATTTATAGCTTAGAGTATAAATATACAATGAAAGTTAATTGCAAAAGAAACATTGTATTGGTACTGAATTTCATCGCAAAACTCCATGTTTTAGATTTTTACTTCTTCCACAGTTATCTTTATACATGTGTTCTGCATGGCAAACCATGGTTTATGCCCTCTATATATGGTGCGTATGTTCAAAAGGACATACTTTCCTATGAAATAAGAAACCTACATCAGTCTATTTCAGTTAGCAGTTGGTCCAACCTCTAAGTCATAAGGTTGTGGGTTCAAACCCTACATCAGGACGTTGAATTCATATTGCTTAGGCTGACACTTCATTCCAGTGTGCATAGCATGTGCAATGCATTGCAATGCTGATTTTGATGAAATGCTAACCCGAGGTCCTATCTGCTTTTTCAAGTGGACATTAAAGATCCCATGGTATCATTGAAAAAGATAAGCAAGTTTTCCTTATATCCACGCCAATAATCCCCCAGATAAAATTAGTTTCTCATTTCAAGGCTGTTTATGGGTCAGTCCCTGCTACATTTGATACAGTCCCTTGCATTTGATACAGCGCCTTATCACGTCATTGAGACGTCTCAAAGTGCCTCACAAAATATACTGTAAAGTGAATTTACATATATTTTTGGGGTCAAACATGGCAGCACAGCAGTGTCCCACAAACAGTTATAAAAATAATCCTTGCATTTGATATAGCGCTTTTCACATCTTCTAGACGTCTCAAAGTGCTTCACAGAATATACTGTAAAGTGCATTGACTGTATATTTGTGGGCAAAACTTGTGGTCACTAAACCCACAACTGTTTGTGGGACACTGCTGTGCGCAATTGACCGCCACATTTAAATTTGTGGATTGAGTGACCAAATTATTATTTTGTTGTTGTTGAGGGAATTATTATCCCAGAAATCGATCCGTCAATCGACTATCAACCGGGTTCCTACTGCTAGGTGAACAGAGACGTGTGGAGTAAGGAAACTTGCCTAATGTTTTACCCGGCTCGGTAATCAAGCTCGCGTCCCCAAAACCGATTTGGCTGAGGTGGAGCAGTAGGCTTTGGTGCAGTCCAGACAGATCTGGACTTAAGCCAGTGTTCAGCAGCACGCATTTGTGATCTATGACAAAAACCTTGAGACCCCGCACTGTGCCCAGCCCAGCCCCTGGACTCTGATACCGGGCACTGCCCCATGTACCAAAGGGACTGGTGAGTGTAGGAGGTAGTGTGGGAGGTAATGGAGCAAAGGTGTCGAGGATATTAAAAAGAAGTTATGAAGAAGAGTGATGAAGGAAGTAAGGTCATTGCAAGAATAGAGCCAAAGGAGCAGGAATTCAGATGAATTTAGGGCAGCAAATTAAATATGGAATATTAAATCATTTTTATATTTTCCAGTGATACAACACTGCAAATTTTAATATTTTTGCCACTGATGTGACAAAATGTTATCAACCAGTCATTGATACAATGGCTTTAAGTATGCAGTTATAATGGACATTCTGATTTTTTTTAACCACAAATATCTAATACAATATCTCTGTATAGAGACACCAAGGCGGGCCGTCTGGGGCTTCTGCTGCCCTTTATGTACAGGATACAGTCACATGGTGGACCTAGTCTCCATATATTGCTTGAGGACACTCTTGTATGTAAGCTCTCTGAGACGCCGTCCAGAATGAAGGGCGCTGTATAAGTCCAAGTTGTTGTTGTTGTTGACACTCTTGTATTGCAGGTTAAGATCCCCCTGATACCTTCCTCCAGACCAGACACCCTGGAAGGTGGGAATGTGAAGTTGATGTGTGCCTGTTTCGCGCTGGAGTGAGTCTGGCTGGGGTCAGACCCCACGTGACCTTTTCTGTGGCTAAACCGAGCTTCAGCATATCCCTCAGCAACAGTGACCTATTAACCCCATACCGAGCTGTCCACTCCCTCTGCTCGGTGGGCTCTGGCCGGCTCTGTGTCACCCGGCGTGCCAGCTCCCACCATCGAAGGTCGGGCCTTCAGCCTTTCCGCCCCCACCCTTCAGAACTCCATCCCAGTCCCTATGCCTCACCCCCTCCCTTGCTTCCTTCAAGGCACATCTCAAGACACTTCTCTTCGACTGCGCCTTTGGTCACCCTTTCTGCCCTCCTTATTCCAAACCCCAGCACGGGTGCAAATCCTTGACTGTCCAACGCCTTGGGAGTGCGTTGTTTTGTGGAACTCTCAGTTTGGTTTGGATATTTTTAAGCATGGTGACAGGTTTCCGCATGTGTCAGACACCCAGCTGACCAAAAAAAAAGTGAGCAAAATGCTGACTGCTCATTCCCACCAACAAACTGCTACAGCACAGAACAACCCGTACAGTCAACACCACTGTCACTGTCCCCTTCACCATCACCCCCTACCACCCTCAACCATCACCACCGCCCCTTCCCATCCCCACTGTCCCACTGCCAAACTCCACCCCCACCCCTAACCCTGTGCCGTCTCATTTGAAGGGTGGCACTCGTGCAGTACAGTGTAGCCCTCGTCCCCTGCGTTGCGTTGAAGGGTCAGCTTTGACTGTGACCTGAAATTTCCTTTTGTGAACCCACAAACTTCTGACGCAGAGGCAAGAGTCCTAGCAACTGAGCCATATGGGGTCACGCAGACCCTCAGCGCTTGCCGTTGGCCTATTGAAAAGGGAAGTTCTCACCCAGCTTCTATCCTAAACACATTCATTGATCTCACTGTGAGTTGCAGTGGGCCAGACAGCAACGAGGCCACTTTTAGAGTTAAAATGAGCGATTCTGTTCCTCCATCCTTCAAACAAATCCTTCCCAAAGTGAAGATACCCAGAGTTATCAGGATTGTGAATCAATGACCACCGATGTCCCCTGACTGTTTTCCCCTCTCAATGCCATTGCCGTCTCTTCTCTCTACACACACACACATTCTGGGGTGAGAGTGCTTCTCGCTGATCTACCCGACTGGCTTCAACCACCTCATCACCTGGCAATTAGGTCAACAGTCCACAGATCGTTCAATTAACAGGCCTGCCCCCCACTTTCTCTCTCTTCCTCTTCCCTCACTGCTGTCCCCCTCACTCTCTCCCCCATTGCTCCACTCTCTCCCTCCTACTAATTTTTGACCATGCTTTCAGTCTTCTTGCCCCTCCCTACTCCTGCTTTGCTCTCACCCCCAGCTCAGGTGAATGTGCTGTGGGAAGCCCTCTCACTGTGAAAGTCTAACTGCAGAATGACTATTTACTGTCCTCCGGTGGACTGCACCTGTAACTGCACAAAGACTTATTAATTGAATCTGTAAATCCGTTGCAGACAAACAATAGCAGCAGCAACAGCAAAGCGTTTCACAGGATTTTCTTGTAAAATGTAATGATTGTATATTCTGTAGGCGAACAGCAGCAGCCAGCAGCAGGGCTCAGTGACCAGTGTTCTCACCTCTGAGTTAAAAAGTTGTGGGTTTGAGGCCTCACATTGGGTCTTTGAACTCACACTCTAAACTGACACTTCAGTGCAGTGGTGTGGGAGCTCTGTATTATCAGAGATGCCGTCCTGTGGATGAGACATAGAACCGAGGACCCATCTATTCAGATGTCCATTAAAGATCCTGTGGCACATTGGGTTCACAGCAAGTATGATCAAATGTCTCTTGGTCTAGCATTTTCTCCCTCAGTGATGGTGATCGACTAGAACTACACAGTCACTAGACTTTACAGAAAAACTCGGAAGTGCTTTGAGATGATTGGGATGATAAGGATGCTATGTCAAATGCAAACAATACTATTAACCTATTTTCCAAAATATGAAGTGTGACACTTTGATGGGGAGGGTTTGAGGGACAAAGTCATCGACTACAATGTTTACAATGCAGATTGATACTCACAAATATACTGAGATAAAAGTATCATTCTAGTAACTCAATTTGTGAGAATGTTTCACTGTCCATTTATTTCTCATACAGAAGTTTCCCAATTAAGAGGGAACAAGCACTCCAGGACATTACCCTGCATGAAGGGTGCTATATAAATGCAAGTTGTGGTCATCTAGATATCTGACTCCTTCAGAACCTCATCACCAGAGACCGAGACCGTCATTCCCTCCTTAAGAAATCACAGTCTCCACTGCTCAAACCTTCCTGCCTTGAAGACCTAGAAAGAATATGCTATAGTATTGAATATGATACAATAATATATAATATTCAAAAAGCCTTGCTTTTTCTAAGTATAATCAACTTTAATTTTCTACAAGAAACACATCTGAAGCTTTCAAAGAAATTATAGTTAGTGCAGCTGAAATAAATGTAAGCTTGTTTGTCTCTTCAATTTTAAGGCACTATATACTGTGGTTACTGGGTATAAAGGGCAAGACATGGAAGTGGATTCAGAATTGGTTGAAGGCAAGGAAGCAGAGGGTACTTGTTAGAGGAGCTCGGCCAAAATGGGGAGAGGTACTAAGCAGAGTGCCTCCTGTTCCCCATATATATTAATGATCTGGATTCGCAAGATAGATACATTTGCAGATGAAACCAAGTTGGCAGGAACTGTGGAATCAGAGAAGGCAGCAAATCCACAAAGGGAGCTTGATAGATCATGTACATTGGCTGATAACCTGTCAATCAAGTTTAATACTGATAAATGCAAGGCACTATATGCAAAGTGCACTTTCCCCAGAACGACACACCTTCTTACCTGATCCTGGATACTTTAGGTGCAGGTTGACAAAGCCAAGGCTTCAGAGCCCCAGAGTGTATTTAACCAGCTAAAACCACACAACTTACATTTACAACATTGTCTCCAAGCTTCT